ACATGTTCAACACAAATTCAGTTAATCATTATGCAGAAATACACATCGTCCATTAAAGAGAGAAATATTTTTATTGGATACTGCAAATTGTATACGAGTATCGGTTCCAATAAATCTGGGTCAAAGAGCAAGATAAAATCGCCGATACTTTGAGATGCAGTATCGTGTTACCATTATCACGATAACGTAATAAGCAGAGAAAGTAGGTTAATAGCTGCTTTCATGTCGAGTACAAGTGGCACCGCACGCATTCTTCATCATTTAAACCAAATTACCTATGTCTTCCTATAATTTATGTACCTTTTAAAGGTAATAAGAATGAAATTTGACATAAATATAGGTATAAGAAGAATTACCATAAGCATATAACCCTTTGTTTGTAACCAATTGTAAAATGATAGTTGCGTCCAAGGAGTTCACTGCAAGTTTGTCTTTTAAAAAAAGCGAATAAATTTTAGCATATTTCTATACAATAACCATTTCACAACGGGGGTTTATGTGTTAGATAAAAAATAAAACATGAAAATGAAGTTTTTTTTAAATACGTATCATTTATGATTTCGTAAACACGGTCAATCACGTCTACGCTTTTTGGCACCCCAAAATGCTACGTTTGCAAAGAATTTTGACTATCACATTCTTGATTAAAATACTATCTACGTTCTACCCCAGCAATATTCATACTATCTTCATAATTAAACTAACTATGACATCAACATTTGTGTGCCAATAGAAGGATCAACTTTGAATGATAAATTTTCTTTACGGGCTAACAATATCAAAAGAAAAATACATGCAATACATATGGTTTATAAAGAACTACATTTCGTGTGTCAAAAACATATTTTTTTAAGCCTTGCGTCTATAGGTGCCATTAGGAATTATGAAATGGTCCCATCAAACACTAAGCGACTTACTGCCTTCTGCAATTTTAAAAAATAAATGTTAATTGCAGTGACGTGAAGTGATGCCCATTTTGTTAGACCCTAGGCTCACTCGCTCTATCCAACAATCACATCTCAATTTTCAGTAAAACGAAGTAATTTTGTGTCACCATAGTTAGTATACAAAAAAAAACTATGTTTACAGCATAAAATAAGTCATGTTATATATTAATATTCATTGAAACCAATTTAAAAAAATAGGAACATGACATTGAATATCGGTAACTTCTGAAATAAATACCGTATTACACCGGCTTCAGTGGGTCAGAATCCTATTAAAACTTAATTCCTTTACAGTGTTACAAGAATATGACAACGACATGACATTAAACCATTTACTACTCATTATAAGTATTTTTATTTAACTACGTTAAGAGCTGATTTTTCAAAAGTTAGATAAATGTTATCTGAGGAATAAAATTGTTGCTGTCACTGTCTTATACAAACATTCTGATGCGACAGCATCATAATTATTCCCCAGGTAATTTTTATCTAACCATTGAAAACTTAGCCCTAGCTGTGTTAAGTGCTCAACGAAAATCCTTCCTCAAATCCTTTCAAAATTCCAACCCACGTACTTTAACCAAAGTCTACCTAAGTGTAACCATTAACATAGAACGAGGTGTGAGTAAAATGCAACACAAACGTATCTAAAGAAGCTTAGCGTCGCCTGGTACGCTCCACACTCACCGCACATACAGACAAACACTTTAAGCTGATTATGATGGATACGTCCCACTCGCAAAATCACAGATAGCTATAATTATGTAACGTTTTCACGCAGTACCAACTAGAATTACCTACCCTACGTTCATTCATTTAAATAGTGAGCGTTTGCGACCACTTCTCTTCGTTCGTTCCCGAAATCTGTGGGATTACTACTCGTACTCAACTTTGTACTAAATGTTGATTGCGATGCCATTTTAAATAATTTAAGCATGTGAAATCTTAATAGAATTTACCGTTATAGAATAAAAACATCTCCGGTCTTCCTTAAGCCTACCATAAAACTAAATGCAGTTACGATTTCGATTATCGTAGGGGTGCAAACTAAAAATTTTTTGTAAGGACACCTGACTTTATCTATGAATACAATAAATTAATTTTTGCAAATAAGTCATTAAACAGCACTTATATACGTCAACATTATATAAACAATCTTGATGAAGCCAGAATTTCCTATCTAACTATTTAGAGAAAAAATGCCGAAACAAAACGTACATTTCTTATTGGAATGCGGGTAAAATTAAAAAATCTGGTATGGCGACAAATACTACTACTAAGTTTAAAGCTCAACAAATTCATGAAGTTAGGCAACATTTCCAAAACCTAATATTGTGGTCCCTGTTTGCAAGCATCAGTGCATTCACTTCTCTCCTGCCTACCCCTTTCAGACTCAGACAAAGAAGCCTGACAGTTTCAGTTCTACATTCCCTAACTAATATTATACCACATTCAGCTCACATATTGTAATTTTAGGGTTGCCAATTTGTATGCAATGGTAGCCGGGGCTCGTCTAGTCTTGTTTGCAAACTGTATTGCCCTACCGGCTACCGACCCGGCGCGTCCGTCCCTAACAAGTTAATTTAAACTTCTAACGCTTAGCCGACTTAGGTTGACGGAGCTTAATAGTAATATTCTAAATATAATTAAACTCACAACAAAATCTTTCATTAAAAATAGACGAGGATATCTATAATATTGTATACATCCCTGATGTAGATTTTAAACTCTGTGTCACTTTGAAAAATTAGTTTCTTCTTGACTTTTAAGATAGCTGAAAATTCATGAAAAATGATTATGATTACTTTCCAATACAGTTTAATGAAATTAAGAGGAAATCAAACGTTTTAATAGACGTAAACAGCATTATGTATAAGCATGCCAAGTACCTTAATTGAAATTTTCAAATTAAAATGTACATACATATATAAATGAACGTTATTTATAAATTCTTGTTGAAGGAAAGGTGTACGAAATTAGGATTGTCCTCCCCACAATATCGTATGCTTGTGATACGGGGACTTAATAATAAATTCCTTTGTGCAAAAAGGAACAAAAAATTAAAATTCTTTTCGTGTCCCTGGGCCTTCTCCGGCGCAGTTTTGTCATTTTGTTTGGAGGGATCTCGCGTGACATACGCAAATCCCTCTGCTGAATATATGTATATAATATATACTATTGCGAATACCTAAGTGAGCAATATTAGACACGTTTTCTCATAAATCTTACCATATTCATGGTATGAATGCTTGAAATATAGTATTTTTCATATTCAGTGATGGACTATGCCGCTGTCGTATTCATAATATATCATAGTTTTCAGTTTAATAACACTTGCATACTTAGTTATTAGTAAAACACAAGACAATATTTATACTTGTCTTGATAGGGGTAAATATATCATTATTAAATATACGCTTGGGAGCAAATAAACGCAGCCACAACCATTTTCTCATTTCCAGAAAAATATTTTCTACTAGAAGTGTTTAACTATTGTCATATGCATGGCATATATCATACCTTTAAATTAAAGGTATTTTGTTATAAAATAAACCTTTTTGTCAATGTTATAGAGGCTTTGGAAACTGTTTAGTTACGTATAGACAACACTGCCTTCACTATACTGCATCAGTTTTGTTATGTGTTGTCTGCATTAGAATCCTGGATTGAAAACGCTTCAATAAATATCGCAATTTTTTTCGCAGGTTGCGTTGCACTTTTGCTTCTTTTGAAGTAAAATTGTAAATGTGTCGAAGTTCTTTATTAGATTCACTTATCTTGCCAGTACGAAAAACAAATAAAAATCATACATTTTCCCAATTTGAATTTAGAATTACTAACCAATTATACCAAAAACTTTATAACATGTTCATACATAATGTGAACAGACTTTCCCCAACCTAATAGTTATAACTAAAGCTAAAACTAAAGAAAATCCAATTTTTCTTCTCAACTTTTAATTTTGAAATGCAACAATGTTACTAACCAGTAACCCGAATTTCTTTAAAAGTAATAAAAACAGTCTAAAATATAGATTTATGATTTTGTATAATAATAATATAATGTATTTTTGAGTGCACTAACATTTGAGTGCGTTTTGCTAGCTGCTAATAAATCCTAAGTATATTTAAGTAAATTAACAAACGGTATAATCCTTGATAAAGTGGCTCGAACTTTGAGTATGTATGTTTTATGTATGTTTGTAGTACTAAGTCCGACCTGAATCAAATCCGAACAATCAATTTTTGAAAAAAATTTTAGTTCATTCACCTAAACTTGGTGTCGCGCGCGGAACGCTACGCACAGTACGTTAGGGTCGCGTTTTGGTCGGACGGCAAGCTACCCTTGCTCACCGTCCGCAGACTTGGTGCGGTGACCGGACGGAGATCGTCGCTCGAAGTGTCTGAGGCGTGAGGAGAAAGAAGCCCCTCAAGTGACCCGCCTCCTTTGTGAGCATAACTACTTCGCTGAAAAAGCAGATGGCTTCCCAGTTTCTCTCGCTCCGCACCATGGCCTCGAAATGAGTCTATTCGAAAATTTGTCGTACTACGGCTACGACGACCATATTTTCACGGGTCGGTTGGATTTTGGATTCGATTCGGACGTCAAGGAGAAGCGCTCTTAATCTTTCTTTCTCGAGGGATTAAAAATAAACTATTTCAACTTTAAAATACAATAAATTATTAAAAAATAAACATATATTATTCACTTATTTAATGGTATACTTCATTAATTTTTTTCGATCAAGCTGATCTTTGTTAGGTAAATATGCTATTTGATAAAAAAATATGATTACATCACAAGTCTATATTATATAAAAATTCATAAAAAGATAACGTTGACATTTTGATCTAAATAATAACATTTTGACTAAAGTGAGAAATGAATCAAAACTACAAAATCAGGTAAAATATAAAAATTAAATCTAGGAGTGTAGAATAGTAAACAAAGGAATGCTATGGGGCGAATAAGATTCAAATAATTACTGGATGTTGCCACACGTCTGTTATTATTCTACCTGTAGAGGGCGCAGGCGGTACCGTTCCGGTACCTTTCTTGCGTCGTTGGCGATATTTCTACAGAAACTGAACAGAAACTCTTAGTCCCTCATTAGGCTTCCATTTGTTTACTTTTCTTTGTCTTAATTGTAACAAAATTAAATCATTCTTCAAAGAAATAATATCTGACATGTTTTGAAGCAGGGTCGAAGAATTCGTCATGCGGGAGGTCGAGGGCAGACAGTACGGTGGCGAAGTAATGCCTCGTGAAATGCAGCGTGTCTTGCGGACGTAGCAAGAGGATGGTTTGGAGGAAGTCTCGGACAGTGCCTGTGAGGGTCCCGCTCTCTGTGACGTAGCGTCCACCTTCCGACATTCGGGTACTCTAAAAAATGAAATCAAATTGATATATTTAAACTTACAAGTTAATTTTCTATGCATTTCATCTTCACGGTGAAAATGTGTTTCTTTTATGGTAGTGATAGGTCGGCAAACGTGAAGACACACATTACCTATGGTAAGCAATCAGCGCCGCCCATGGACACCCGCAGCTATAAAGGAGTAATGAGTGCGTTGCCGGCCTTTTAGGGATGAGGGCTTTCGATATTTAAGGATGGGGAAGGGATGGGGGGAGGGGGAGGATTGGGCCTCCGGTAACCTCGCTAACACGGCGAAACACAACGCTGTGGTTATTATACGCAAGTTTTCTGTGCGGCCATGGTATCGCTCCGGTTGAGCTGACCAATTCGTGTCGAAGCTTGGCTCTCCCACACTTGAGTTATGTGCAAAGAGTGCCTATTCATTAGACATGTTTAATCCCCGTCTTTTGTCGTTTAAGATATCAATAACTCTTATGTGTAACTAATATTATGACATACCTTGAATTCCAAAAAGTCCGACATTAGTTGCAGGTCGTGCCGCCATGAATCTCGTAGCGGCGCTGTCTTTTCGATTTCATCTCTTTCGGGGACGACGCGCAGCAATGGATTTATATGGAATATGTAGCAGTTGTCCGCCCACTCATGACTAACTGTATAACCTTTGCATAAAAAAGGAAATAAAGATAAATGCACCTGGATAAAAAATGATAAATTGTAAGTCCTTATGTTAACCCTATTGTCCTACTAATGTTTTACAGTCAAAATTTAATAAATAAGACTGATGTATTCGACCTGTTTAATTTTCAAAATTGCAGGTAGAGACACATTTTGCTACTTCGACAGTCTTTCACGTGCAACATATTCAGTTTAGAAAAAATAAAACATAATAAAAACCTCCATATCATTTTTAAAGACCTATCCATAGATACCCCACAAATACGTGTATGGCGATTATGTATTTTTTTAATATTAATTCTAATTAGATTAGTCTCATTATTGCTTCTGTTTTTATGTTTGAGTGAAAATCTTATTTAGCTAGTTTCAACATTATAGTTTTAGGAAAATGGCTGAACAGACTAACATTAGCAATCTATAAAGATTCCATATTTTTGGCTACAAAATCATTAACTTTTAAACTTTCGCGTTTCATCTTAAGAACATTATATTTACGCGGGTATTAACGCGGAAAATTATAATTTGAATACCTTGGTAGACATCGCGTCTTCAGTCTGCTTGTGACCACGACCTGTGCAACCGGGTCGAAACGTCAAGCCTACCAAGGTATTCAAATTATAATTTTCCGCGTTAATACCCGCGTAAATATAATGTTCTACAAAATCATTAACAAAAATTATAGCTTTTTAAAATCGAAATTAACATCATTTTTTAAACTTAAAACGATCAATAACCTGTGTGAAAACGAAAAGTAAGAAGAGGGCCATACACGAAATTAAATACTTATAATGGTTAACTGTTTAAAATAATCTTTCTCCTTTAGTGTCATTACAAATGGCAAAAAAAATGTTTTGATACGGAACTAGACACAAAATACACAGTATTAATGTAACCAAAAGCAGTCGCAATTGAAGAGCGAAATAGGATATTAAATGAAATATTAAGTTCTATATTTCTATTTAAATAATAACTTCTTAATACCTCTAAGAGTTAACACCGTCAACGTCTGATGCATATACCCCGAGGGTTCAATGACATGCCGTTCGATTTTCACTACAAAAAATGGGGTGGCATTGACTACTCCTTGGGAAACTCCATGACTAATCTGAAGAAATAAAATGGATTAAGTACACAATTTTAACATAAAACCTTTCCAATAGCATTTTAATATTTAATAAGTTATCAACTCTGTGCATGGATTTCATAATGTAAACTAATATTTACCTCCACTTCATTCAACAAAAGGTATTTCTACATTAGTAAATTATCAAATTAGTAAAATCTATTAGGTACTATTGCAACTATTTGCACATAGGTAACCGGTTCAACAAGAAATATATTCATTAGTCAACGCAAACTCCTAAAACTAACATACCACGCTAGATAGTTTGTGAATTAGTTTGGTTCCTCGCTGGCAACCTGATATTATCTACCTATTTCATAATTGTTCAGTCGTTTCAACAGTCCACTCTCTATAGGCATTAGTTCCACAGGATAGTAAAATAGAAAGTAGGTATCCATAAATTTCAATTTAATAGGATTGGACTATTACCATTCATACTAGGAATTGCCGCTTTTATGTAACTAAATTAGAACTTTAGTGAGAATTTTACCAAACTGAAAATGTTTTAAAAGGTTATTAGATATGGTTCAGACCATGTAAACGCTGTTCATTTGTGAAATCCAATATAAAAATCGTTTAATATTTGTAGTGTTTGATTTTATTCAGAGGGTCTTATTATAATATGTGTATAGCTACGCTTTTACTAACATAAACACTCTCGCAGATAGTTCCATCCATCATTACAGTATCAGTCTTTACAGTGCCTTTGAACCGTCTTACGGCCATGTAACGCAACAGGACTAGGTTGGCACCCTCTAGTACAAAGTTGCGGGCTTTGTCAAAATCATGGTAGAATCGCTTCACCACATCTCTTTGGCCACAAATGCGCGTCACTTTGTTATAGTAACCATTTTCACATATAGCCATGTAGCTTCGCCGCTCTTTTGTCAAGTCTTTCTTTGTAGCGTGCCTGTGATTATCAAATTAATTGTTTATTTAAGCATGATTTAAAGTGTCTTTAATTACTACCATGAAATCATACCATGATTTCATGGTAGTAATGTATGTTTTAATTCAGACGAAATAGTAATTATTAGCTAATTATGAAAGTCGTAGTAACAGTATAACTAATGTTAAGAAAGATCCGTAAAATCTTACTCGACTCTATTTTCTTCCATCGTGTGTAAGTTACAATCTAGAATACTAACAAGCTTGGAGCCTGTTTTTGCACCTTCCTTTGACGAATGTGAAACCATTTGCACAAGAAGTTTATCTTTGTCCTCGCCGAGACTCTCCACACAAATGCTTATGCCTGATGTTGAAAAAACACTTTTTTAATTTCTCATACTTGCTCTGATAATTATGATAGCTTAGAATACTAAAAAATACTATTTGTATAACATTATGACTTTAGGAAAAAAGCACTTCGCATATACAATAATAGGTACCTACTTTTCATAGGTCCTGTAATAGGAATGAACCTATCACCATACTCGTATTGCCTATATATATTTGTCGTAAGAAAAATTTCGAAAAGAAATTTAAGTGTTATATATCCCCTTGGGACCTGAATACAAACAGAATTACAAGAAAATTACGTAAAATGTCTACCTCCAACGGCACTACAACAATCCAAAGACGGTTTTCTTGGTTTCTTTTCAAATTTAGGAAGTTTTGGGCCATGGATTGGACATTCGTCAGTGTGTTGCTTATCATGTAGGCCTTTAATTTGGAACTGCTCATTTATTGTTTCTTCAGTCTTGAGCTTTTCGTGTCTTCCGTATGCATAATTGAAAAATGTATGCCGAGGATCAACTTCGTGGCACCACCGGTAGCCATGTTTTCCTTTACGTAACTTTTTTATTTTTGCCGCTGTGTCATCTGTACGTCTACAAGTGCATACTAAATCTGATATCTCAGGCTTAGATAAACAAACACATTCATCTGATTTAACCGGAGCAGTATCACAAATACACGGGTTTGTGCAATCGCAAGTAGTGAAGCATTTACAATTTTCTGGATTTTTACAAGTACAAATTTTCACTGGAAAGCATTTACAAATTCCACTAGTAGTTTCTGGTGAGCACTTGCAGTCTTTGGGAGCATCGCAAGTACAACTAATAGATTTATTTTTACCCTCTTTACATGGTAAATCTTGGCACTCTTCTGGCTCACATAAACAAGTGCTTTGTATACCACAAGCACATGATGACAAGCACGTACAATCTTTGCCTTTCAGACAAAGACACGAGTTTTTAGGATCCGGCTTTTGGCATGCGCATGGTTCTTCTTCGACTACGCTTGCCTCATTTACAGCTTCTATTACCGATTCCATCTTAGAGTCTTGCGAAGTTTTCTTACTAAGTTCACCTTCTATTGACGCAGTTTCATACGATTCTATAGTTGGTAGAGTCGGCTGAGAAGATTTCGAAACGGGAACAACACGGGGCTTATGTTTGCATTGGCATACAGGACAAGGATATTTATCAGGATGACATATACAAGGTTTATCAATTTCGCCACAAGTGCAAACAGGCATTATTTTACCAGTTGGGTCACAAGTACATACACTAGCGCTTTCACATTTGCATGTGATTTGAGGATGCCCCGGAGCGCAAACACAAATATCTTTTAGTTCCGAGCAAGTGCATGTGGTCTTAGTCTCAGGTGTGCAGCTACAAGGTATTTTCAAAAAACATGGGCAATCACCCGTTTTGTCTTTTTTACAAGTACAATAAATTTGTGTCTTTGCAGCTATATTTAGTTTGGGCATGCCATCAACAACAACTACACTGGTTTTGCTATTTTGTGGTGGAGGAGGTTTGTCGCAATCGGGGAAAAAATAAAAACTAAAATCATTATCTTCTTCAACTTGCTCTTCTTGTACAACAGGTTCCGGAACATAGTCCTTTATTTCAAATGCTTGATCACCTTTAGCTTCTTCTGATACCGTTGTTTCAGAACTATCCTCACATGACCATTCTGATTCCGATTCTTCTTCTTCAAGATCACCTTCATAATGTCCACAGCTTATAATAAGTGTTTCACCAAAACAAATTTCTTCTTTAATAGCTGCGTCTACAAAAATATAAGGTTGACTGTTATGAAATCAATGTAATAACGTGAGGGAAAATGAAATTAATACCGGTACGAACTAAATAGGTTGATTACCAAGAGATAAATCATAATTATCGATAAGAAAGTAAGTTGCTATAACAGCTTTAAAACATATAAAAGAGACTAGGTACCTACTCTTACAACAAAAAAATATATTGAAAGGCACTAGACTATAAGAGTAGTAGCTTCGCAATTCCGTTACTCTTATACTTATTATCTACAAACCTACACGTCTGTGTAAGTGTGAAAGACCCATGCTTCAACACCAATGGGTTGACTCCAGCGAGGTGATACCACCGGTCCCAGAAAATACCAGAGCGTTGTGTGTGAATAAAATTATCGGAGGCTAATCCTGACCCTCGTCTACCCAATCCCCAAATACCCGATCCTCAAATCCCTAACTTTCAAAAGGCTAACGACCCACTTTCAAGTCAACTCTCCTAGTGTTACGGTACTCCATGCTGAGACAATCTTTAAGTAGGTAAGTAGCTGACTTAACCTCTATCTAAGAAACTACAAAATTATTTCCTATAACTCATTTCAACTTACAGCCAATGATTAATGTAGGTTGATATATGAACACATAATTATGTATCTAGAATAGCTACCTGTGTACTGTGCCTATACTCATGTTGGACTCTTCCTAGACATCGAAGTCGTGTCGAAGCTGACACGATAAATAGGTAATCAAGAGACTTGGCACAGCAACAAAGTAACAACGAAAAGAGATGAAAAAAATAAATGTGTATTTTTTCCCAATTATAATATAAAAACAATTCCTTACCTATTTCAAATGGTAATTGTTTCGATAAATCTATTAATGATATATGACCTTTTACCTCCATTTTGCTATAAATACTAATTTAAAATAAATTGAAATATTGTCATCGTAACATGTTTTGAGTATTTTTTTTTTTTTTTTGTTATATGTCATACTAATACTAACTATTTCATATAATATTTCGTATGACATGACTAAAAAGGTCGTATTGAGTATATTATCGTAATAGGTTGAGTCGAGCACTAACAAAATAAAACTTACTTGCCGCTTCCTATTTTTTTATTTTGAGTTGACATAATACAAAGACGGCATATTTTCGAAATAAATTAACAACACCAGCCAGACAGGTAAAATGTGGTTACGAAGCTCCTTTCAAAAGAATAGCAGAAGGCATTAATTTAATATAAATATAAATATCCAAATACGGAATCCAACTTAAGGAACTGTAGTTGAATTTAACCTTAATAATATTCGTACTGCTAAGTCTACAGTTGTAATTAATTATAACTATATAAATTTGGTTCAAGTTACCTACTATACAAATACGTTTTTAAATTAGCCGCTATTTTTTCTGTTGAACTTTCCTCTGTTACACTCACTAATCTTCTATGTATGTACAGCAAACTACTTGATATGAAAGTGTGTAATTATTTCTGTTGTAAATAAAATCATTAAAATATCATCACAGAATTTAATTACTACCACTTTACCACTTCACTACAGAAACATTTCTGAATTTTCTACGTTCCGTACTACGTAAACAAATTCATGATTTCTCATTTTTGGTAATTAACCATTGTAAATTTCACTAAACGTCTACCTTACTGCATTAAAAATTTTCTTACTTTTTATGCAATTGAGAATTGGTGTCGATTTTTTTTAATGAATTTTTAGCATTCCCACACTCGTTTTTCTGCGTCACACCGAACGACCGAACGATCGACTTGACAGATGATGTGGCCTAACGTCTAGCGATTTTTTATGAAATATTAAATAGAAATATTAGAATGCGAAAATGATTGTGTTAAAACTTATTTTATTTACGTTGTTTATATCAGTGTCAAAATGCAGGACCCCTGATAAAGTGTATTGTGCTAACAAAGATTGTAATGGTAAGTCACCTTATTGCAATACAATGTCAGTTTTCATGTGATAACTTTCTAAATACCTTCCTGTTGTCTTTCCAGGACCGATATCTAAAGTAAAAACACTACTGAGTTATAATAGTGGTGATCCAGACTTAATATCTTTTCGCGGAAATAGCGAAGCCATCGTTTATATGAAATCAGCTGGTACCAATCCAGACCTTTGGTTTGTGGACATAGGCGGAACGACTGGATTTGTTAATAAAAAGTTTTTAAGAGAAACTAAAGTATTAGAACGGAATCTTCAAGTTGTTCCTTATGAGGTTGAGAAGCAGGAAAGTGTGAAACCTGACAAAGTACAACAACCTCATGAAGTGATTGAAGGTACAACAATATACACTACAGAGTCAGCTGTCAATGTTGCTCAGCAAGATACTTCTACAGAGTTACCGGCCACCCCAACTAATGAAGAACTCACTCCTTCACTGAACAGTGCAGAAGAAAACACAAATGAAGATGAGGATGGTGAGGATGATGAAGACATTGAGGAGGAGGGAAATGTATCAGATACAAATAAGAATAATGATGACTCTAACACAGATTCACCTAATATGGCCCCTTCAACTGAAGACACCACTGCAACTTCTAGTACAAATCAGAATGTAGAACTGCCTTCTGGAAATACACCTGAGTCACCAGCATCCACAGCTGACAATAATTCTGAGCAAAATGAGCCAGTGAAAGAACAAGATAGTTCAGAGCATCCTAACGATGTTCCACCAGAGGCACCACCTTTACAGCAATTGCTGGCTACCAACAGTAACGGTATGTTGAACAGTGATTCAGTTATAGAAGTACCTGAGAAACAAGATTTCCTACAAAATAGTTTAATGGAATCAGAACAGAATGATGGTAAAGAACAAAATACATCTTCAGTAAATAACAATGCTGAAAATACATCCCAAGAAACTTTGACTGAAACCAATGTGCCTAATGGTAATTCCTTAAATGATGTTGTAGAAAATCTGAATGGAGATATTGTAAATAATCCTGAGAATGAAGCTTCTGTAAACCCTATTAGTAAACCTGAAGTTCCACCTGTAAATGAATCTGTATTACCACCTGTAAATGAACCTATAGTCCCACCTGTAAATGAGCCTCTAGCACCTGTAAATCAGCCTGTAGCACCTGAAAATGAGCCTGTAGCACCTGAAAATGAGCCTATAGCACCTTTAGAAAATGAACCAGTGATTCCACCTGTAAAAGAATCTATAATTCCGCCACTCAATGAGCCTGTGTTGCTTCCTGTAGTTGAACCTACATTGCCTCCTGTAGTCAATGACATAAACAAAGTTATACCTCCTATTTACCCTAATATTAATACAGGTGATCAACATAGTGAAGTGCCTCAAGAAACTATCATAGAATCTAATGAAAATACAATCCCACCAGAAGAACAAATGATACCTGCGTCAATGGATGCATCTCCAACAATTGAATCAGTGCCACCACCATCAACAGAAACAATACTCCCTATCTTTACTGATACAAATGTACCAACAACAACAGAGACAATACCTCCATTGTTCTCCCAAGAACAGCAGACTATTCCTCCTGCTGATTCAATTCCTCCACTGATGAGCATGGAAGCTCCACCTACAACACAATTCCCCACACAAGACTTCTTCACTGAGACCACAACTCCTTCACCAAACATTCCAGAGGAGAGTTCCAACATTATTGACACACCAGAGTCTGTATCTAAAGAAGCGTATCCATCATCTCCCTATGCAAGTGTGGAAGATGTTATTGCTGCATTACCAGACCCTACAGAGGAATCAAGTAGCAAACCAACTGAGGCTCCAGTCCAAGATGAAAACACAGAAGGTTTCTTTTCAAATGTGTATTCATCTGTGGCAGACATCTTTCCATCTACAACTCAAGCACCGGAACCACTATACAATACAGATTATCCCACATATGAGAGTGAAAAAGCTGATGGCAATGAAGGATTTTCATTTATTAAATATTTTATGTCCACATACTACTCAATAATGGGCACAAGTGAAGAGACCAAAGCATTGTTTGCTTCAGTTGGTAAGTTATAATTTTATTTTCATTGATATCATAAGATAAGTAATTTCTTTATTCTTATTGCTTATATTTCTTATAAAAAGTTTTATATTTTAATCTGAATTTAGTTTATCTGCAATGTTCTGTTAGTTTATAACAAAAAATATTATTAAATTACCCAGTCAATAGTCAGTCAGTAAGTCAGTATCAATCAAAATGAAATCATACCTGAAGTCATTTCATTTTAAACACTTTCAATTGTTAACATAACATTCGCATTTACTTTACAAACTTCTGAACAACTTCTTAAACAATATTTTACTACCTATGTAAACAATCGACATCTGATAAGAATGTAATTCTGATGTTGTCACTAACATCGAAACTATTAAGTTTCTTAGATAGCAATACAATATACATGGTTACAGTTTAAAGGCGACTGTAATCTCGAGTAGTTTTATCTGTTCCCTGAAGACTTATCGAAAGATTTATCTCTTTCAAATTTCTATATGAAAGAAACGCGTCAAGTTGCGCCATGCGTAACGAAACCAACACTTTAATAGAAAAATGTTGATAAAAAAAAATGTTTTTAAGAAATTTATTAGATCAATTTCTTTTTAATACATTATATGTGTTGTCGTCAGTGTTGCTATTAAAAAACTTTTACTTTTTAAACTACTCTACTAATGGTAAAATTTAATAATCTATTTGGTGGTCATTTTGTGTGCTTTTTAGTGTGGTGTGTTTCTAAAGACATTCTCATTTGCAGGAGAAACATGCTTCAGTGATGAGTACTGTGACGGCACATCAAACGATGGCAGCAACAGACTTTTGACATTCCTTCTAACCACAGCCAGTTCAGTCCTTCTCTTCACTTTGGGATACTATTACATAGATAATAGAAGACAAGATGGAAGACTCATTGGCACAATCAATTCACTGCAACGGGATTTACTTTTCACAACTAAGGTATGATTTAATAATATTCTTTTGTATTTGCTAGTTCAAAGTTCAATAGTTTTTGTCCATATTTAATTAATTACCACAACACAATAAAGAATTTGTTTCATTAATTTAACAAAAGTTTTATGTATCATATATTAAGTGTTCTTAAAATTAAACCTCAAAGCCAAATTTATTTCTTCAAAATTGCTTTAATTTTATGTACACAATAGAAAAAGTAATTCTTAATATTGTCATCATTCCAGGAGTGCGAAATCCTCAAAGAGGAATTAACAACTACCAAGAACAAGTTAGCCGGTATTGAAGACAGCTCATTTGGCATGGATGATATGGTACAGTCGCTTAAAGAAGAAATCAATGAGCTCAAGGCCACAAACGACAGGCTACGGAACTCCTTAGATGATAATGAAAAGTTGCTCAGGGTATCTGAGAATACTGCTGGAGAGTTACAGAATACCCTGAGTGAAGTGGAGAATACTCTTAGTGAGCTCTTGGCTGAGAGAGCTAACTCTGAAGAGCAAATAGTGGAATTAAATGGTAAGTTTCGTTGTTATTGCATTCAGTGACTAAGTATAATGTGATAAAACAGGGAAAAACCTTCGTGCTATACCTAATTATGAATTAAATTATAAAGAAATTAAATATAAAACAATAGTTTATTGAATTTTAGTCATTTCCATATATTGATGTTAAGTAGGTAAACTGAAATACATCATTTCATCTTATGTCATTTTACACAGTGTTAAAATTATCAATTTTTAATTAATTAATTGACATTAAAATCTAGTTAATTGTTTGTTAATTCATGCACTTAAAAAAATTAAAATATAATTGATTTTTTATCCTTATAAAAGGCACTAATGACAAATGATAATATAATTGTCAATCTATCAGAAACTGTAATAATAAAACATGAAAATCAGCATTACCATTATAAACTATAGATAAATGATTATTCATTGGTACAAAGTACATACTTTTGTCAAAAGTAATACCATAGTAGACATATGTATTGTATTATAAATACATAACAAGATTCGATATGGTAAAATTATATCATATATTCTTTGGTAAAGAAACTTTAAATAAATTCTAACATATTATTCCTTTTCATATTTGGTTATGCAAATGTAAATGGAAAAAGGTAAAATTTTACCATTTTAAATCTTGTTATGTTGCAGAATTTATTATAGTTAATTAATAATATGTTGGAATTTATTATAATTTCTTAGACAATCTTATTGTCATAATATCCATATTTTGTTTTTTATTTGCAGCAAAAATTCAAGCGTTTGAAGAAGAATTAATATCTGTAAGTCGTGAACGTGATAACTTCCAGCTAAAGTATGTGTCGGCTGAGAGTGCACTGGAAGAATTTAAAAAACAAAAGAAACAACATGAAGTCGTCAGCCAAAACTTGGCAGAAACTAAAAATAAAATGGAATTACAAGAACATGAAATTAAAGCTTTAAAAGTAAGTATATTTATAACTGGCTATTGTCTTTCGATTCCTTATAGGTTGTGTCGTGATGTTTTACAGTCAATGGCTTAAATTATAAATTGGTAGTCCATTTAAACTTAAATCTTATAAATTGTACAATTTAAAACTCTGTCTGCTCCGTCTCTATGGTCTATCGGTGTAGGTAGTTAAATCTTGCTTAATTTTTATTAAAGAAGTCCTATGTCGTATATTTATTTTACATACTTTACATACAAAGTATAAAAAGGTTATAAGCTATTATTGATTTAGGTAAATACCTGAACAGAGAAGCCAAGATAATTTACATTTATGTAGTTAATTACCTAAACCGTTAGACCATAGAGACGGAGCGAACTCTATTATAGAATATAGAGCGCGCTCTATAGTCTTGGCCCCATATAACCTAGCCCGCTCTGGGCCTACCTGTGAATAACTCTGCTTTGGATTTATGCACCTCTCCTCCGTATGAACTTTAACTGTGCTAACATTCCATATATCTAAAACTTCTTAGGTGTCTGCGAAAATTATTGTCATTTTTATACTATACCATCTGACCTGGCGAACTCCGTACCGCCTCAAATATAACTATTTTTTGCCCTTTTAAACCTTCCCTGGACTTCCACAAATAATCCAAGACCAAAATTAGCCAAATCGGTAAAGGCATTGTTAAGTTAATAATATTACAACAAAAAGTGGCATTGATTTTTATGTTTAAAGATAAATCTACTTCTCTTTCCAGGACGCTATAAAAGACTTGACGAGTGGTTTGCCTGAAAATGTAGACGCAACGGCCTTTATTGATCACACAGAAATCAAAGCAAAACTCGCGAAGGCATTAGAAGAGAGAAATAGTTTTGAAACGCAATTTGAGGTCAGTATCAAAAAGTATTGCTTTATAAATGCTTAACGTCCCGAAAGTGCAATTCTTGCAAATAAAAGTAATCAAAGAGATCTGGAGTAATCGTTATTACGAAAATTGTTCTTCATTCTTATATATTAATAATAATAATACTTTAATAATGTGTATTATTTTTATTATGAAGAATTCAGTGAAACTAGAGTTCACTCGCATTTTACATAAACATCTTTAAACACACACACACACACACATACATACCTACATACAAAAGTCCAAAAACATACAATTTTACATACTTACACAATATACAGTGCGAAATTCAATCTCACGATTATTTTAACAAAATATTAATATTTTGGCGCAGGCGGAACGTCAGGAAAGATCACGTCTTGCTGAAGAACTGAAGACAACGAAAGAAACTTTAGCTAGCACAAGTCAGAACGCGACCGAGGCACTCACAAGGCTGGAAGTACTAGGGAAGTACTTCCAGGAGAGAGAGAGTGAACTACTTAAGTAAGTTAAACTTTGCGAATATTAGCCTTTGTTCCTTACAACTTACAATTACAAGTTGTGCCTTAATATTAGCCTCCTCGGATGATTTGAAAATACATGCATCTAAAAATGTGATGTCGGTGTGACGACGAGGATGTCTGAGGAATCTACACGATCAAACTATCAGGAATGTCAGGAGTTTTGAAATGAATATTTTTCAATCAATCATTGGTCGTAAGCAATCGGCGCCGGCCACGAACACCCGAAACAACAGAGGAGTTTCGAGTGCTGGCCATTTATTAGGATTTCGATTATATAGGAATGAGGGAGGAATAAGTGGGTTTTAAGGACTGGGCCTCCGGTAACCACACTCACACGGCTAAATAACGCTGTGGTTGTTTCACGCTGGTTTTCTTTAACGAAGTGGTATAACTCATTCGTGCTGAAGCATGGCTCTTCCACACTTACTATAATACTCTTATTAGAGCGAAGCTTTAAGTACGAATGGAAAATAATGCTTATGCTGTTTAAAATGGATCCGTCAGCTCGTTTGCCGAACTCCCACATAAAAAGTAAACTTTAATGGGTTGCTCATGATGATGAAATGAAAATAAGATCACTCCCTTATACAGAAAAGGCGTAAGAGTAACACTTTTTCTAAACTGGCAATTAAACCCTTACCTATTTAGTAAGCATTTGCATTTCGCAACTCACTCAAACAAATGTGGGAGAGCCACGCTTCAGTACGATAGGCCGTCTCGACCGGAGTGTTACCACGGCCTCACAGAAAAACGGCGTAAAGCAACACTTCCGATTGTGTATCGCCGTGTGAGTGAGTTTATTGGACGCCCAATCCTTGATTCCCCAATCCCCATATCCCCTATCCCTAACAATCCAGAAGAGGCCGGCAACGCACTTGCAGTAACCCCTTTGGCATTACGATTGACCATGGTCGACGCTGATTGCTTACCACAAGGTGATCCGTCAGCTGGTTTACCATCATAGGTATAGGTATGACATAAAATAAAACAATGCAGTAAGTAGGCATTGATAACAATAACACTTAATCTTTAAATTATATAGACAAAGATTTGTTCATTATGTTAATTTGTTATATTTCCAGGGAGCTAAGCGCCAAAGAATCGTTATATTTGAGCAAACAAGGCGAGTCGGCTAGTACAGTAGAAAAGATCGAACTTCTCCAGCAAGAAGTGCAAAGATACAAGTAAGTAAATAAATTTAAATACTGTTATTAACCTCTTTTTAATTTAAGAACACCTATCAAGGAATTGTGTACCTATGTCATCAATTAAATAAATATTTATCATTAGAAGTCAGACCAAAGATGAACAAAATGCTTTGTGTCTTCGTTGTCTTCACTAAAATATTTACAGTTGACATGTCCTAGGCACTAGCCGTAAAAAATCTAACTTCATATTTTAAGTGTGACATCTAGATTAATCAAAAAAAAACTCCAAAATTTTTCAGGAACGGGATAGTTAAGTTTTTGTCGTTATATAATATTTTAGTAACACTTTCTTAACATAAGTAATCTCTACACGTGTTTCATGATTCATTGTTTTGCTTGAGTCATGACCATATTCACAGTGACGTGTTTAAGGAAAAATATTATCAAGATAGGCATACGATAATACTTGACACTTAATCGTTGTGTTATAAAATAAATTTAATTTCTCGATGCATACAAAAATGCAAATAGAGTAAACTATTTTATCTTAAAAATGGAGGTTAAGAGACATGATTTTCAGCAACATTTTAATTTTGTTAGCCGTAAGATAAATAATTTGAAGAGAGAATCATGTTTTAGTATTTGTTTTTCATACAATTACAAATACAAACTCAGAGAGAGGCTTGATACTTAACAGTTGAAAAACTCATTAATAGAAACTAGAGAGTTAAAGTAAAAAATATGTTATGTTATCAGGGAGAAATGCGACGCACTAACGCTGGAGTTAGCAGAGCAAGAGTCGTCGCGTCGCTCGGCCCTGAGCGAGGTGGAGACTCGGGCGCACAGCGCGTGGCTGGAGGCGCGCCAGGCCAAGCGCGAGCTGGACGCCGCGCGGGACGACGCCGCCGCGCTGCGACGCAAGCTCGCCGCGCTCAGCACTGCCGACGGCGCCGTGTCGCCGCATCACAGTATGTTCTCTGTCTACTGTAACTAGCAATCATCTGTATTGTGTATCTTTGTAAACGCACCAACCAACTTTATAATGTAAAAAAGGAATTTGTTTGTGAAATTGATTGAAAAGAGTACTTAACTATGGAATTTCTTGCTCGTTTGGTTTTTATCTTTAATTTGTCAAACCCCAAGCAAACGCTGGGGTTTAAACAATTACCACGATTGAAATATTAATCTATAATTGATGTCCAAAAGTGCCTGTAAGTGTCTAATTGAAAAAAAATGTTGACTTTGACTTTGCACCTACTATACATAAAAACATCCTCGTGAAAGACACCATTTCTTGAAAAGCAAAATAATCTCTCAAATTCCCACACTCTGGGCAAACAGCGCAAAAGATAGTTAAATAAAAAAGCGTCTGAACATGAAATTCAAATGACAGTTTTACGGTTATACATTCTTGATACCTATTCGTAGAAGTTAATGTCGTTGTTCATGTTCATGTCCTATGATCGTGAAGAGTGCAATCATAGACTTCTCTGGCTAAGTACGAACCTATGAATGACTTTGTGGTCTGTGAGAGTAACATTCCTGGATATTCTTGATAAAGATAAGGTCTCTCTGATTAGCCAACTACAACTAACTTAGTTTTAAACTAACTCCGTTTCGTGTACCAGAAGTGTCGTCCCCGCTGGAGCCGGGCGAGGCGGTGCTGCCGCCGCCGCTGCCGGCGATGTTCCTGCCGCCGCCGCTGCTGCCGCCGCTGCCGCGCCCGCCGCCGCTAGGCAGGCTGCCCTCGCCGCATCCGCCGAGGTATATATACTCTATTCTCATTGCCATTTATATTATTTGTCAATTTATGCTCCACCAGAACTCATATACATGCCATACACAACTATATACTCTACAAAGTTCCATAATTATACTAACAGTGATTAAATAACAGTCCATTTATATTAAACAGAACTGCTGAGGTGTGGAATTTTGATGCAGTCTGTGTTCCCCGAATGATATAACCTGGTTGTCTTTCAATTCCGAGTAAATAGGTTGCTTATGGGCAGACGTGCTCCATCGTAGGTCGCATCATCACTTACCACCAGACTTAATAGCGGCCAAATGCCTACTACAATTACTAAATAAAAACAATCACTAGATATCCCTTGAGATTGATCGAGTTCAGCTTTTATTGTGAGGCAAGCGCAATAAGGCACTACTGCCTCAGCCTGAAACAGAAGAAAGCAAGGGGAGGATTTGGTCAGTAAAAGTTTAACACTCTACGCCTTCCTTTGGGCGAAAGACACACCTCACCAACCACAATACATATGAACCTGTTTGACCTGGCTCCACCAACTTGCGTAAAATAACACACCACCTTACATTTCCAGATACGGTGACAGGCGCTATTCTCCAGACAGTAGATATTCACCCGAGAGCAGATACTCGCCGGATAGTCGGTATTCGCCTGAGACAGTGAGATACTCGCCCGACAGTCGGTATTCGCCGCGCTCAAGGCGATCACCTTACTCGCCCAGGTCGAGGCGGCGATCAAGATCCAGGGAAAGGTAAACTATAAATACTAAGTAATTGTATTTAATACAAATCTAGCCTTAAGGAGCAGGCCACCGCAAGCACGCGTCTGCGGATGGCGAGCAATGGTAGCTTGCTGCCGGCCACCATCTCGCCATTGCCGCCCGGCCAGAATCAGACTCGAACGATCGGCGCGTAGCGTTCCGCGCGCGCCTCATCGAGCTAATAGACCACCACAGACGGGGCCCTATAGGGCTGATGTTCAGCCAGGGTTGCGGGGCAAGCGCAATAAAATAGTGCGGCCTCGGCCTAAGACAAGAGAAGGAACGAGGGAGTTCTTAGTCAGTAAAAGTCTAACACTCCCTCGCGACCCTCGGCTCATCATTTAAAGATTTTCACCAAAAACATTCCCACCTAAAAACCTTCGTAGGAACCTATAAAATGTTCTGGGCCCATATCCCAAAAGTTGTAACCTTATTGGTTCCCACCTTTATTTTATATTCCCCTCCTCGAACATTTAACCTTCAAGCTAGTTGCGAAGTTATCTTATTTGCATTATTCTTATAGTATAACGACCCTGTTAAATGTTAAAGGTCTTCTACAATCAATGTTATCAATGAGAATGGCTAAAGTGTTTAAAAAACATTTCGTAATAACTTAATATGATAAGGACTTTGTTCAATTTATGCTGAAATTTAATGACGTCTTATTTGTTTTTAAATTATGTTCATATGTAAAGAGGTTGAAATCTGCCTGGCGTATGATTCTTTTACTCACATACTCCTGAACCCATCCAAATGAGCGTTGTGTTTCATAATGTGAGTGAGAGAGACCAGAGGCCCCCAATGCCTCCCCTCCCCTATCCTTTCTAAATCCTAAAATATCCGAAACCCTTATCCCTAAAAGACTAGCAACGCACTTGTAACTTCCTTGTGTTGCGGGGCGGCGCGGATTGCTTACCATCAGGTAATCCGTCTGCTCGTTTGCCGACATATACCATAAAAAATGAAATTGGGCTTTACTATATAATATATTATAATCTGATATAACATTTTGATTATGTACACTTATATAAAAATTAATTTGACTCAGGTACGATGATCGAGCGCCGCGGTCGCGGAATGGTCCTGCGCCGCCTTTAGACACGGAAACTGAATACAACTCAGACAGCCCGTCACGCTTGCCTCGCAGACGTGGTAGATACTCAAGACATTCAGGTAAATACTCTTAAAATCTATGAGGCCATGTATCATGTATGCTAAGCATGCAGGTCGCACGAAACTTAAAGCTCTTTAGTTATTATTTGTTATTGGCTATTCATCTTTACAATTTTTTGACCAAAATTAACAATCAACAATATTTCTAGAGCGTTCCAGATTTTTGACAGAAATTCAGTTGACCTATTGTCAAAAATCGATTTTCCTCTGTGCTGTTAGTTTTTTATGTGAACAATAATAAGAATAGAAGCTTGAGTAATTTGTTTTTTTTTTTTACAAAATTTGTAAAAATTATAAGATATTTGGACCTTCAAGATAAATCAGTTATTTTGAATCCTTGTTTAAATACCTGCTAGACTCAGTGTTTTATCGTTTCAACTGATTTGTCCTCTGTACCGATTATACAAAACGTGCTTGACATTTTTTCGTCTGTGCGAGTAACTCATAACATCTTCATTTGTTTTTTCTTGCCGCTTAAGATATAAGAGAGTAATGCATACTTTTTTAATAACAGCTCCACAGCAACGCAGGTAAGGAATTCCGTTACTAACATCCTGATAATATCCTCGATATTTTTAAACCCAATTATTCATTTGTGCAGATATTTAAGGCTTGAGCAGATCGTATGTGTAGACTTTCCCTTAGAAGTGCACGTTACATTAGCGTGAAACAATACTTGCGATGTTTCGCCGTGTGGAAAAGGTTAAAGGAGGTCCAAACAGCCCTCCCCAAACCCCTAACACAACCCAACATCCCTCAATCTTCAACCTCTAACCTCTAAAAGTCTGGCCTGATGTCTTGGGTACCAAAGAGCGACACCGATTGCTTACCATCAGGCGCCCAATTCAATAAAACAATGACACATAATGATGTGGAATTGTATAAGTCAGGACGCATCGCTTGCGAAACATACGTGTACGAATACGCTTACGTCTACGCATCCGTTCTACTCGAGTCTTTATTATCTATGTAGATGAAGTGGATGATTACTGATTATGTCTTTTCTATCTATTACAGGGCCTAGCTCAGGTTCAGGTTGTTCCTCAGAATCGGATAAATGAAGCGGTCTCAATAGGTTACTATGCCAAGATCTACGCAATATATGATATGATGCCAAAATTGGTTATGGTGGTTCACGAATGTAATAGTTGTGAGAAATAAAACATTTAAAACTTATGACGTGGAAAATCTTCAGCTTTATAATAGTTGCTATTGGGTTTTATTCGGCTGTATCCCTTTAATACCAACCATAATGTGGTGTGAAGTGAAAATTAAATATTTGACGGAAAAGGTTGCAATTTATTCCAATATTGTCTGTGATTAAACTGTAGCTCTCCATATGAATTATTTAGAAAGTAATACCAACACTTCTCAAAGGTCCAGGTTAATGGAATTGCAATATTTAATTAAGTCATTACGACGACACATTGTAATAAAAACTCTTTCGATTTGTTGAAAAGCTGAGCAATGTTTACAATATCTTATTTGTAAGTCAAATGCCTGAACAGAAGTGAACAGCCTTTTTATATCACAACGCAATATATTTTATAACTAGAAAATAAACTAATCGAGACTGTATAATAGGTGCACTTAAATCACGATAAATCTTTCCGTACAAGCAACTTAATAGAATCTACTTATATTTAAACGTTTGAGCCATAGTTATCCGGAAAGACTGCTAATATTGAATTAGGAAAAATAAATTATTATAATTGTTGATGAATAGTCCCACGTCGTTGAATAATTGAGTAATTAAAAAATAAAATAGTAAGTCTTCCGTACCCGCGATTTAGCAAGTAAACTTGCCATTGCTAAAAATAAAATAGTCAGTATTGCCTGGTCATTAAAATAAAAAGAAAATAGCAGTACTGTGGATTCGGAGATCCTGCCGCTCCTGTAATGGTATGTTATGTAAATAAAATACTCGAACCGATTAGGAACATAACATTAAAATAAATAACGGACAATAACAGTGTCCGTTTATTTCTGCAATAGTCATTGTATTTGGTGCTGTTCTATATTACGCAGTCTTATATTGCGTCATATTTTAACGAATTTATTTTTCATAGACATTTCAAACTGCATTTAAAAAGCATATTATCTGAACCAAAGCGTTTTTAATGTTCTGTTCTTGTACCTGATTCATTTCTTTTTCAATTAATTATCTCCATCTCTAATTGTGTGTTTCTAAATTTAATTATAGTAAAATAAACGTCACCTTTGATTTTTGTTTTAATAAAAAATATACTTACAGTTCAAGTATACCTTTCACTGTTAAATAATAAATACCACCTAAAAAAATAGAAATTAAAATAGTATTGTAAATCGTAATGTTAATAGGTAACCCGTCATGAAAATTGCAATCTTTAATTTATTGAACAGTTGTTGTTTTGTTAGTCAGTTAAATGTATTATAATTATTAGATACGATTTTAAATAAATGATTTTATCATGTATCTCTTGTGTGATGATTCAAAGAAATCCTTTTTAAATTGTTTGCCAAAAATCTTACCAGGACTACTTCTTTAATAAAGTTTCACCCAGCCGATTCCTTTCCAGTTCTTTCCATAATTGCAAATTGTAAATACAAAATAAAAAAGTAAATATATTTATTCATTTACAAATGAACAGTTTAAAAAAAAAGTAACAATGTATTATCCTATGTTAATTACCGTTGAAAACGAAGGTAACTTTAAAAACATTGGTTTCGAACTTTACCAATTTATAATGCATTTGTCTATACCAAGCTTTATGTATAATATTAAATTAGTTTAGCGATATTAGTTTGACACAACTATTTCACAACCTCTGTTTTAGCTTTGGTATTACGTGACTAAGGTACGACGTTCCAAGGTACATATGTACCTTCCTTGGGCTCATCAAGCTGAAAAAGATAAGACAAAAATATTATTTCTAATAACTTCCGCAATCAACTTTACTTTGATTTAAAAAAATAAGTAAACTTTGTTACCTTTTTTGTGATATGGTCCTCGCACGCCATACGAATGCGTGCAGATGTCGCAGGCGCATCCAAACGGAATTCTAAAGACACTCCAGCATCAGCACGCGCTGCTCTTATAGCCTCTTTTATAGCAAAGAAAGCGGATGACGCTAAGAATAATGGCGGCTCACCAACAGCCTGGAAAACATAAAAAAGTTTAGTACTCTTATTAATAAAGATACCCTTTATATAGTTCTGTAATGCTCAATATTCACCTTCGAAGAATACACTGCTCTTGGATTTGGAGCTCCCTTCAGCAGAGATACATTAAATTCCTGAGGAATATCGCCAAATCCAGGTATTTTATAAGCACCAGGTCCTCTTGAAAACAATGTGCCATTTGGAGAATAAATTAGCTCTTCGATGGTGAACAAACCATAACCCTGCATGAAGGCGCCCTCAATTTGACCAATATCTATAGCTGGGTTCAAGCTTTCACCCAAATCCATTACAATATCGCTCCTGATCACTTGATGGTCACCACTAAGGCAGTCTATTTCGACCTCAGTGCATGCAGCACCAAACGTAAAGTAATTGAATGGTGTGCCTGTATTGGTTTTTATATCATAACCTATATTGGGAGTGGCATAGAAACCTGTAGCAGATAAGCTAACTCTGTCAATCCAAGCTGATAAAACCCAGTCTTCCCATTTGCCGTTGGGATTATTTTCTTTGAATGGTTGTAATCTTTTTGCGAGGGTCTCGCAGGCTTGCAGCACAGCCATACCGTTCAAGTCTGACCCAGCACTAGCTGCCGTGGCTGAAGTATTCGGTACTTTGTCTGTTGAAGTCTCGCTAATGTGAATCTTAGATACATCCACGCCAAGAGCACGAGAGGCGACCTGTATCATTTTGGTGTGTAGACCTTGACCCATTTCTGTACCACCATGAGAAAGGAGAACGGATCCATCCATATAAATCAAAACTAAAGCACCAGCTTGATTGAGCAATTTTTCAGTGAAGGCTATTCCGAACTTTGTTGGAATTATTGCGATACCGCGCTTTCTCCATCGGTGTTCCCTGAAAATAATCATAATTGGCGACTTGATGAATTACATTCTAAATAAATGTTTTCTAAGTGATAAATCTAAAGAATCATCTAAAACAAGACTCACTTGTTGAATTTTTCTATAAACTGCCTCCTTTCGGCTAATTTGCTCTTTTCAATACATTCATCCCAACACCTTTGTAGGGTACAATTTTCCAATGATTGATTGTAGTGTGTTATAGAATTCTCTTTGTACAAGTTTATTCTACGTATTTCATCGGAACTCTTTCCGAGTTTAAAAGCGATATCTTCAATAATGTTTTCCGCACCAAACATCCCCTGTGGGCCACCGAATCCTCGGAATGCAGTATTCGAAGGTAAGTTGGTTTTACAAACGTGTCCGGTGACTTCAGCGTTGGGCACGTAATAAGCATTCTCGTAGTGAAACATTGCCCTTTCAACCACCTGTAATAATATATATTATGTGTGTTAATTTCGTTGGCTTTTTACAGTTATATACGTATGATAAAAGTACATCATTAACTTACTGGGCCTGATAAATCTATAGAGTACCCTCCATTGTTGTAAATGTTAACTTGTGCGCCCATTAATTTTCCTTCTTGAGTTACAGCAACTTTGTATTTGATCAAGAATGGATGCCTTGTGCCAGTCATCATCATGTCTTCGTCTCTGTCAAGCATGCATCGCACTGGCTTCTGGAGCTTATGAGCTGCAAACGCAACAGGTAATGCCACTAGCATTCCACGAGATTCTTTACCACCAAATCCACCACCCATACGCTTTACTCGAGCCACAATCCTATTCATCGGCACGTGTAGTATGTGGCTGATAAGTTTCTGCAATAAAAGTGAAATGTATCAGGTACAAAGGTACAATAATATAGTTTCTATATTTTAGTTACCAATTAGCAAATAGAAACTTACTGCAATTTCTGAAGGATGTTGACTTGAGCAGAATACTTCTAATTCATCATCTTCTTTTTTCGGAATCGCAAATGCCGCATGAGTCTCCAAGTAGAAATGTTCCTGTCCACCCATTCGACACTGTCCTTCTATTATAATATTGCTCTTATCGTCAAAAGCCTTCTGTACATCACCTCTGCTTATAGTTTTAGGAAATTGTGGATAAAACGAGTTCTTCTCAATAGCATCTTCTATTGTTACTATAATTGGGTGTATATCTTCATACTCGATTTCTACCATTCTAGCTGCTTCTTGAGCAATAGCTTGGTCTTTTGCAACAATAACACCAATAGTCTGCCCTTGGCTTACTACTTTTTCACTGGCAAATAACTCCTCATCGTGGAAAATGGGACCAATAGCATTTTGTTCTGGAGTCAAATCCTTTGCGGAAAAGAACGCGACAACGCCAGGTTTTTTCAGAGCTTTTTCGGGGTTTACGGAAAGTAATTTTGCATGTGCTCTTGTACTCAAAACAAATGCCAAGTACAGCTCTCCTTCAGCCGCAGGTATGTCGTCACAGTAGATAGCTTCGCCAGTAGTTTGCTTAAATGCTGACATATGTGTTAGCGGCCTTCCAACAGCGTCGCTTTTGACTTGTTCGTCTCCAACCAAATCAAAATATTGGGCACTTTTGGGTATATCGCCGTGGAATTGTTCAGCGCCGCTGCTATGATAAGGCAAAATAAGATCTTCATGAATATAGTCCTTAGTCATTTGCTTCGCAATAGCTAAGTAAGCTTTGAGGAACAAACTCATGGTTAAAGTCCTCCTAAATTGTATATTTCCACCAGGTGCTGATGGGTTTAATGGTAACTCTTCGATTAGAGACGAGAAAGCTTTGTCCAGCATAGCTTCATTCCATTTTTCCCCTTTTAGAGATTCGCCTGTTTTAGTAGCTAGTTTTGTAACTGGAGCCATACCACCATAAGCAACATTGATGTACTTTATGACATTCGTATTACTTTCAAACTCGACGTTTATTGCTGCTGTGACAATAGAAATATCATCTTCTCTCCTTTTAGCTTGTTTATATGCCATCACGTACTGGTATTTATTAGTGTAAGGAAGTTCTATGGACAGTAAAATCTCATTTGGTTTCACTACATTTCTTCTGTAACCAGTGAAAAATGTTTCATCCATCAAAACAGAGCGATGTCCTCCATCTTCGCTTACCAGATTAAGTTTTACTTTTAAAGCCATTAGAATTGGATTTAAATCTGATATAGGACTACCCGTCATTATGTTTCCACCTATAGCTGCAACATTTCTAATCTGTTTGCCCGCGAACCAGTTTAGCATGTCAATAATGGTAACGAACGATCGTGTTTTATATTTCGGCAAATCATTGATATATTTCCTTAAATTGTTTTCTATCTCCATTAAAGTAACAGCTGCCCCAATAGTTAACCCGTTCTCATTTTCAGTTATGGCATTTAGTTCTGGAACGCAGTTCGGCATTATTATAGTTGGGTACACGCAATGTTTGAATTTAACTTCAACTCCAACTTCAGTGTTACCTACAACAATTTTTGCATCCGGATACTTGTTTTTCAACTTCAAAATGGTGTTTAGATCCTTGGGCCTGTACCATGAAACTTTTTGTCCTTTGTATAGCAAGGATTGTTCATCGTACACTGAATATAACTTAAGCTCAGGTGGAAATATGGGCTCTTGAGTATTATCGTATGGCAAGAATGAGGATTTATCGAATATATATTCTGTTTCACTTGGTTCTTCATCTTTATCAGTCTTGTTTTTACAACAGTCTTTGCCCATGGCACAGACACGATTTTGGCTATTAGGTTCTCCGTTAGAAGCTCCATTTGTTGTGTTGACAATACGTTGCGTCTCCCAGTCTTCTATGAACGTTTTGTAGCCCTCAATAATGGCTCTGTATCCTGTACATCTGCAAAGGTTTCCTTGGAAGGCTACTTCCATATCATTATAAGATATTTTAGTGTTGGTCCTTAATAAAGTGTACATGGACATAACAATGCCTGGGGTACAGAATCCACATTGTGAGCCGTGTGCCTTAGCTATGCGCTCTTGTACTGGATGTAATCTGGTTTTGGTTGACCCAATACCTTCTACTGTAGTGACGGCTAAGCCATGCATGGCGCACACTGGTGCCAGACATGCATTTACTGCGAGGTGGCTAAATACTGGGTTAGGGAACATTATTACATTTTACTTACATTAAACTTATGTTTAATTTAGTTATGCAATACCCATCCTTGAGTGATGTATCTATTGAAATAAAGATAACGCCAGACACGACCAATTATTACCTCTGTATGCATACACACATAAAATATGACACATCACATACAAGTGTACTACAATATTTTAAGGCTATTATATTAGTAGCTAGTATCTAGCATTGTTATCTAATTAGGTAATGCACATCAAAGTGATATGGCAATAAACAGTCGAACATACGCAAATAACTATCAACATAAGTATGTT